TATTGCCTGGTCAATTATTTTTCAATTATCTTTGGTTAATAATCCTAAAATAAGGGATGTTCACATTTTAACCATGCAAAACAAAACTGAAAACAAAAAGAAGAAAGAATATTAAAATATAAATTTTATACAAGTGATAAATTGTTTAAAAGAATTAAAATTTCTTTAACACAAACATTATTTTACTGTTAATGTTAAGCATGTGAGCATCTTGTACTTCCTTTATCACCTGGTTTTACTGTTTTACTAGTGACCCAGCAACATATATAAATACCCTCATAGAAAAATACTTTTTTAAAAGACTAAATGGCAATTTATCTTATTCCTTATAACACAATGTCCCTACTAGGAGAATTTGACAGCAGAGAATCATCCTCATGATCTCCAGTGTAAAGCAGGTACATATTCAACATCATCAGTGAAATTCTCCAAGTGATGCCCACACATTACAATAAATTCTGTGCTGTAGTCCATCGGTGGGAGCAATTCTACATAATTTTTGGGAAAATCATTTGATTAGGCCTAGTTCTCCTCCCTGCAGGCCAGGTATGATATTTTGAGATGTAAGTCCATTTTGGCCTCTGGTCACAACTGAGACCTCAATGGTCTGGTGGTGCTGTGATGCTCCAGGACAAGATTACATCAGTTGAAGACATCCTGGGAGGAAAAGAATCTTCATCTGCATGATTCCTCATTGATCTAGGAATTCTGCTGCTCCCCAGTCATCTGTTACATTTGTTTCTCCCAATGTACTGAACTCTCTGTCCCACTCTGTCCAGAGTCATTTGTTACATTTGTTTCTCTCAATGTACTAAACTCTCTGTCCTGAGTTGTCTGTTACATTTGTTTCACCTCAAGTACTGAACTCTCTTTCCTGAGTCATTTGGTACATTTGTTTCTCCCTATGTACTGAATAAAAGGTGTGGTAAGCTTAGGGGCTTTCGTCTTTGCCACCCAGAGCAGCACTGGTCAGGCCCAAAGGTCAGCTTCTTCTGAAAGTCTGATTTTTTTTTTTTTACCTTTCCCGTGTAATTAGTTAATTCAAGTTGTGCTGTCCTAGCACCCAAGGGACTAGGACTTACTGCAGAAGTTCTAGTAACATCCCCTTTGCCTGTTGTCTACAGTCTACATGCATCATTTCATTGCATTACTTCATTATGCTTCCATTTAGAGTTGAAAATAAGATACTGAAAAATGCCCCTTTTGTGATTCTTATAATAATAAAATACATAGAGTTTTTGAAACATAACATCCTTGTCATAGCAGGAATAAGACAAGCACAGACACTTGAGTCACTGTTGCCCACAGAGGGACCAAGTGATAGAGCTGGGAACCAAGAACCAGTGCCCTTCAGAGTCTGCACCCTGCAGTTTCTATGGTAGCAAGGCTCCCCCACTCTGCTGCCTATTGATGAGAGGATTCTCAGAGACAAAACTTTTCACAGCAATGCTGTTTTCTTTGCATTTTTTCTGATGACTTATAGATGTGGAACAAGACCCTGAACTTATCAAAACATAACATTTCCTTAATTTCACATTGCCAAGAGTTTTCTAAGGAAGCCCAGATTGAAATTTAAAGCCTCTCAATGAAACAAACTGGCAAGGATTTAAACACTAATTGAATAAATAAATATTATTTCTCATATCCATCACACCATCTACTCTGTTTTGGAGAAATCTGAATCACTTTTCTATTCTCAGGATTCCAGACCCTCCTGGCTTACAGGTCAACCTGTAAGGGTGGGGCCAGGGGTGTGGGGAGGGCCTTGAAGTTTCTGACTCTGGAAAGCCAGCCACAGCTCCAAGCACAACGCTGGTCCTGCTGGAGTCTCCCTACCTATATTGAGACATATTCTGAACTCACCTCGGTGAACTAGAATTCACCACATTGTAAAATGAGTATTGTAGAATCTCAGAAGTTAGGGAGGAGCATTCTCACAGTGAGTGCACAAACCCAGTGTGATTCTCCTTCTCTTCAGTTTCCTGACAGATTCCACTGGAGAAGGCATGGGGACTGCACAGTGTTCTATATCATTTCACAGACTAATATTAACTGATCTTTATTTGACATTTGCAACCACCAGTTTTCCATTGTCTAGAATGGGGTAAAGAACAATTTTTATCATATTAAGAAGATTGCAATACCCCATAATTATTTTTTGTGTGTACTTGGATCTTTCTAAATTATATACTTCCAGGAAGTTCCACAAGGATGCATTAGTATTTAAAGCACTATTACAGAAATAGGCAGAAAGATATTTTTTGATACACAGAAATGGATTGCATTCCTATGTCCTTTGAACTTTGTTCTGGACTAAGAATGACTTCTGCTTTATTGTACATGTTCACAGCAGAAAGATGAGCTTTCAATCTGCATCTGCTCCGCCTTGACCTTCAGAAAGGTAAACTCGGGCTGCTCAGGTCTCTCTGAGTGTGCAGAGACACAAACATGGACACCTACAGGCTGCCCATGGGAATACACAGTGTGCACATTCAGGGTGTGACTTGGCCACTGTGTGCATTAACATATATACATTAAAATTACACATACACTATATTATACATTATGGAAAATTTATATATGTTTCTATACATGTGCTTGGACATTTTCCTAGCTGGCATTCTAGGATGGCTCACTTAAAATCTCTGAATCTAAGCTTTCTCACCCACAAAGTGTCATGGTCAATAGCTACCTGAAGAGACTACCATTAGGATTAAATTCACCTGTATCCTGGACAAACCTGGACAGTTTCCTGGTGGCAATGTGTGAGGACAATCAGTGATTTCTGTGCCTCCTTCTCTCCTCTCATGTAGGACAGTCCTGCCCCAAGGCCTCTGCTTCTTAAGGTTAGGACTCAATCTTCAGAGTCTTCCTGCCCACTTTTTCCTCCATGTTGGCTCCTCTGACATTTACATTCCACATTTTGATGAGAATACAGGAAAATCAAAGTAAGTAAAATGTTTAAAATACACTTTGGATATTTTACTTATAGTTGTTTCACTAAACAATAAAAGGGTAAATATAATAAAAACAGAAGTTATTTTTACACAAGAAAAATGTTCATTTGTGTTAGTGAAACCAATAACTTGATGACTGAGGTTGTTGATCTGTCAGGGATAGTGCTGGAATGTTATGCATCCAACAGGATATGGTGCTGTATTTTAATGTTAGCACGGGGGAACTCAGATAAGAATATAAATGCTGAAAGGACACTCATGAGATACACTATCCATAGCAGATTTGATCACACATCCATGCATATTGTTTACTTCCTAATAATAAAACTAGTTTTGAAGCTAAATAGGACAACTTTATTCTAATCTGTTGCTGTCATGTTGATTCTAAAGATCTTCTGAAAACAATTTATTCTATAAAATGTTTCTTTGCAAATTAGCACAGATCAAACAATGATGGAATATGAGTTTCTCCAACATGGTTCAGGATACCGAGGCTTTAATTGCCTTAAAACATATTTGGAATAATTTTAGTTAAGTGTGGGTTTTGTGGCATTTCTGTGACAGTAAAGATGTATGAGGTAAAGTTCAGGAGTTTACCATTGATATACCACAGTGTGGAGGCTCTGAGACATCCTCCTGTGGCAGTTATCACCTCTCCATCTCCAGATTGTCCCACCACACTGATCCAAATCTCTGTAAGCATTGCATTAAGTCTGTCTCAGCTTCTCTCTGTTTACTCAACCCATAGCACCTGCCATTCCACCATCTCCACTTCCTAAAGTGCATCCACACAGTGTTTGTCCTCTTGTGGTGGGCTTCTTTCACTTAGTGTGCAATCTTCAGTGCTCCTGCATGTTGTAACTTGTGTCAACATGCATTCCCCTTAAGAGATGGAATAATATTCCCTGGGCATGCCTACCACTTTTTTGTGGATTCACTGTGGATGAAGAATTAGGTGTTTCCACCTGTGACTATTGTGAATTATGCAGCTATGAAAATGGGCATAAAAACAGCTAGTTGAGTGTCTGCATTACCTCCTAGGGATACACAGCAAAGGTGGAATTACTACTTCATATTCAAATTTTGTTTCATATTTGAGGCATCAAGATATTATTTTCCATATTGGCAATATCATTTGAAATGACTACAAAAAAGCCCAAAGATTTACAAGTATTCTACATTCTTGTCACAAAATATTTTCTTTTATTTGTTTTGTTAATGAATTTTTTCCTAGTGAATGTGCAAAGGTATCTCATCTTTGCTAAGTGATGAATGACCATGTCATCTTTTAAAGTCCCTGTTATCCACCTTGATGTCTCCTCAAATCATACAGAGCACTATTCATGTTCCGATACTAAAGGAGTTGTGGAAAGAGAATGGATGATGGTTAACATTTAAACTCAGGAGTAGGAATTACTATGACTTTGTCAAAGAGGTATGAGACAGTAAGATTACATTCATGATTTCTAACCAAAATAGCATGATAATGGCATCTGATGTAAGGAAGTTTCACATGGGGATTATTGGACAAGGATCCTCAAAAAAGAAATATCCTTTTTTTTAAAGAGTGAGAGTTTTCTGAAATATTATAATCAAGTCTGAAGAAGTAAATATGAATGCAAAAGACATACCATGAGAGGATTAAAATTTTATTCACAATATGGATCTATAATGTACATTTACTTTTATTTTCTATAAAAGTGCTTTGAATAATGTAACATCAGAATTTGATGATTTCTAAGTTCACATGAGAAAATAAACAATTCACATCTTCCAGAAGGTTTAATAGGAATATTATTGTTCTGCAAGTTTTTAAATTTTTTAAAACGTTTTCAGTAGCAGATGCTTCATAAAATATGAATTTCTCAGGAGGAAAATAATATTTATTTTTTAAATAGGTAAGATTGAATACTATTTTTAAGTTTTATAATTTTATGAATGATTCAGATGCTTTTTATCTTAAGGAATTTTTCAAAATTGGCTAATGATGATCTCTACCTGTCACTGTTGTGTCTGTCTTAAGACAAACCATATGAGTGCACCATGGAAAACTACAGTGAGACCTCTGCTGAATTTATCCTCCTGGGGCTGTTCCACCCATCAAGCCTTGACCTTTTCCTCTTAACTCTCATTGTCCCCATCTTCCTGATGGCCCTGGATGGCTATCTGTGCATGGTCCTGCTTATCCTCCTGGACACCCAGCTCCACACACCCATGTACTTCCTGCTCAGCCAGCTCTCCCTCATGGACCTCATTTATATCTGCACCATTGTGCCCAAGATGGCTTCTGGTTTACTATTTAGAAACAAGTTCATCTCCTTCATTGGGTGTGGGGTTCAGTGTTTCTTTTTTGCCATGTTAACAGGTTCAGAAGGACCTATTCTGATGTCTATGGGCTATGACCATTACGTGGCTATTTGCTTCCATCTGCACTACCCCATCCACATGAACAGAAGAGTGTGTGTGCTGATGATACTGCAATCCCAGGCAATGGGTTCTGTCAACTCCTGTGCTCACACATTCTATGCCCTCCGTATCCCTTACTGCAGGTCCAGGACCATCAAACATTTCTTCTGCCATGTCTCATCCATGCTCACTCTAGCCTGGGTAGACACCTGTGTCTATGAGTACACTGTGTTCTTTAGCGCCATCCTCTTTCTTGTGTTTCCTTTCCTGGGTATTCTGCATTCCTATGGTTGGGTCCTTCTCATTGTCTACTGCATGAGCTCATGGGAAGGCAGGTAGAAGGCCTATTCCACCTGCAGTGCCAACCTCGCTGTGGAGACTTTCTGCATTGCACCCTTTGCTTGCAAGATTCTGTCTGCCTTCTACATTTTCTCACCCCAGTGCTCAGCCCTGTGAGCTACAGCCTGAGGATCAAGGAGGTGCTGGGTGCCCTGAGGAGAGTGACTCAGAGCATCTGCTATCTGAAAGTGTATGCAAATTTCTGCCCCAGGACTCAGGTGTATGTTGATGCACTAATGTACAGACATGAAAATGTTATTTTATACCTAAAATGTTGAAAGTAAAATTTAGAAGGTAAATTTAGAAAATTTAGAAAGTAAAAAATTGCTCATGTCTGGAAAAATGTCATATAGACATGAATAACTATATAACCATTTTGTAGTGCATTTTCTACCAATTGTGAATGTATTTATTTTTTGCGAATCTATTTTCAATGAGAATTATTTTTAAAATAAAAGGTAAATTATCTATCTGGAATTGCATACTGGATAATAATTGTACTATGGTCACCTTGAAAGAGTTTTCATTTTTAGTTTTTTATACCATCAATAGAAAAAGATGTGTTCTGAATGATAATACCTAATCAGATGCCACATGGTTTCTCTTTTTCTGTCATTACTTTAGAACTTTACTTTGTACCAGATCCTTCTCCTTTCATGTTAGTAGAGTGATTTCTCAGAGGCCTTATTAGAGATTCTGAAGTCCTTACCCTGGATGGCAGTTGAGAAATCCATGCTGCTTTTAGTGGAAAACATCCTAAGGGAGGAACTGAGTTGCCAACAGATATCAGAGATAATGACTAGTCAAGTATAAGATGAACATGTCAGTTGTTTAATCTAAGGGGCAGGAATTAGGAAAAAAAATCATCCCTGCCATCCTCCCCCATGCCCAGCACACTCTACTGATACCCATGCAGACACTGCTGTGTATATATTAGACAGTGTCTGTCCAAGCAGGTTTGGTTTTCTGCTTGCTGCTTGTCTGGTCTCTAAGAAAATGGATTACAGAAATACATCTGTGAACCAGTTTTATTCACAGATATCACTTCCTTATCATTTCCCTAATCAGGTCTGACCACGACATCCTGCAAAATGTTTCAGCATAGGGCACTTCCTCCATGCAGTGCTACTGCTCTGCAGCAATGACAGAAACAGAAGTGTGTTACTCTAGAGTGGTAGCAGGGAAGGGAAGTGCAAAGTCCCCATGAAGATCCATGATAAACTTAAATTATGAAGCCATCCTGTTCAAATAGCACAATGTACCATTTAATGTACCATTAAATATACAGAATAATGTCTTCAAAGTTACTAGCTATATATTAGAATTGCAAACAACATTGTGCTGTTCTTAATATGTATACAATAACTAGTAACATTTTATCATGTAGTAGGTTTATTGATTTTAAGTCCTGTGTGGCTTATTTTCCTCCAAATTTACTTACCAGATCACAGAAAGTTTTACTTTGAGCACCTTCATTTTCAGTCTGTAAAACAGAAAGTGGAATCTCATTGTTAGAATGTGTGACAACACTATTAATTTATGAGATTAATACAAGGATCATGGTGTTTGTGTTTCTGGAGTTTTGCGGAATGTGTTCAGCTGAAGAAACACAGGGATAAGGTCTATTATGTACCTATGAAAACACACTATCTGGAGCTCTTCATTCTCATGGAGTATTTGTTTTTGAGAGACAGTCACCAAAAATGTGACTCTCTACATAAATCATTTTCCTTTTATTCTGAACTTAAATTTAAACATTTGTATATAAGTGTATTTTTTCTAAGTTGATGAAATCCAAACAAGTTCTGGTACATGCTAGGCAAGGTTTCTACCACTGAGCTTTACCCTAGGCATAAGTTTATATATAATTTTATGAATAACATTTTGCTTATTGTATCCACATTTGTGGCAACTTGTGAATATTGTTTTAAAAAGAGCCCATTTTGGAGACAATCTTCAAATCTCATTTATGTTTTCTAGCATTTTATATTAAAGTTAAAGGAAATTCATTTAAATTTTTTATTATTATTAATTGGTTGGTTTATGGGACTTTCCTATCAAAATAATATTTTGCATATGAAATGATCACTAGTTTTAATTTTCAAAACATTAAAAGTTATTTCAATTATCT